AAACAGTCTCATTGAACCCTCTCATTTAGTAAATGAGCAAACTGACAGCCAGAGAGGGGTGGCTGACCACAGTCACTTGACCACAGTCACACAGTGAATCAGTGGCAGAGCCAAGACTCGAAGAGAATGGATGACCCAATTAGCCAATTAGAGCCAAAGGAGACCTTAGAGGCCATTTAATGGAATCTCTTCACTTTGTCATTGATCACTTGGCACCTCAATACCACTAGTGCTAATATTGGGAAACACAATTTCAGGAAGGTGGGTGCAAAAAGGTTTTTCCAGGGTTATTTCACTCTGCCCTTTTCCTGCATTCTTTATTCTAGGTGAAGCTGTTTGCTAACTGGTTCCTGTATGGGACAATCCATCTCGTGACTCTATGTTTCTGCACAGGTGATGCCCATGACTGGAACGTATCCCCTCCTCACCTTGGCATCTTGGAATCCCTAACTTCCTTCCAGACACAGCTCAGGTCCCACTTCTGATAGGAGGCTGTTCCTAATTCTTCCTAGTTGTCAACATTCTCTCCTTGAAATTACTCTAATTGATTTTCCATGTACTTCGTATTAATTGACCTGTGCACGTGCTAAGTCCCCCAGTGGAAGACCTGCTCCTCGGCAGCAAGCACATTTTATCTTGGTGTTGCTACCACCTAACACAGGACCTTTCTTTTCTCTCCTCTCCTCTTCCTTTTCTTCCCTTCTCTTGCCTTCCCTTCCCTTCCCTTGCCTTTTTCTTTTCTTTTCCCTAGACTTGTTATTTCACTGGCAGTCTCTCAGAACTCCCAAAGTGGAAATTCTGTCCAATGATGACACTCAGCAACTTAGTTATAACTTACAGTCTTTGAAAGTTAGCTGGGGTCTGGAGGAGTGAAATGACTTGCCCAGGGTCACACAGTCAATATGCATTGGAAGCAGGGCTTGAAGTCAGGGTTTCCTGATTCCAAGCCTAGTCCTCTATCTCCTATGTCATGTTGCTTCTCCCATGCTTTGCACGTGGCAGGAGCTCAATAAATACGTGTTGAAATGACTTTAGGGTCACTTTCTTTCTAACGAAGCCCCACTGTTGGAGGAGGATTTGCCTGAGGCCTCATCTCCTGTTCTAACTTGACCTTGTAAGATGATACTATTAGAGGAAGAATACTCATCTTTGGCCAGGGGTTCTTAACCATTTGTGTGTGAGTATGTGTGTGTGTGTGTCATGGACCCCTATGGCAGCCTGGTGAAACCTAGGGACCCCTTCTCAGAATCATGTTTTTTTAAATTCATAATTGAAGAAAATGCTAAATTTCAGTTAGAGGGTAGTGAAAAGAAAGATGGGATTTCACAAACCCTTTGAAATCTGTCCATGTCTTAGACACTCCTGGGTGCTACTTCCCAGTTCAGAACATACCTCTCCAGCTCCTAGAGATCAAAGGAACTGACTCGAATAATTCCTAAAGTGGAGCCTTTTATGGTGATACTGTGGCCTTCTCTTTGGTTCAAGAGCAAGAGCCCAGCTTGGCAAACCATTGAGTCAAAGAGCTAAATGAAAGTGCAGATGGGCTAGCCAAGAGCCCTGTGGAAAACTTTGGCCATCCCTGAAAACATTATGAAGTTTTGTTCAGCTGGAGAAGCCACCCCACCTAGGTAAGCAAGTCACTTTCATTTAATTTCCTTCCTGAAGACATGACAGCATCTGTAGATTTCAAGAAATAATTGTTGTTATCCTTCAGAGTTTTTGAAACAAATGCAATCATCCTTCTGAATTACTGCCTTTCCCTGACAATCTTTCCAAGTTGCATTGTTCTAAACTAATATCTCTCAGACAGATTCTGAATAATGGAAGAGGAGAAAGCCCACATGAAAAATCCAGAATTCAGAAATGAAATCTGAGCTGTCAAATTTGAATTTAGTTGGTCTTTATTCCCTTAATAATCTCCAGACAAAAAACATTTCATTCGAGTTCATAAAGATCATTACCTTAGAGACTTCAATATCTTTGTATTTTGTTTCAAATAGTTTTTTAAGAGAAAAAGTTACCCCAGGCCCTGTATCTCCAAACTTGAAAAGCCAGCAGCTGTGGTGCTATAGAAAATGTAATTTGTAACAAAGTGGTTGGCATTTCTACTGTGCTAGAGGACGCGTTTGCAGCAAACCAACTTAGACATGAATTTCCTTTCATGCATACTAAAAGGGGATTTATTATTATCTCCCATGGCCCCCTCTCATTAAGCCTATGGTCACCTTTTTGCCTATGGTCACTTTTTACCAATCATCCTTCACTTAGCATGAACCAAGGGACAGGATGGAGCTAGCCACTTGTCCTACTAAACTCACTCCCAGCACTAGAGATAGTTCAAACTCTCTTTTATAAAACCATCCACTAGATACCAAGAAGATGGGAAAACCACATCCTTATACAAAATTTATTTAAACAAACTAAAATTCTAACCAGCCCAAATGTGGGAAAATTCCATTTTTATGGGATTGCAGTTTGGCTAAAGGCTTCATTCATTGTAAACAGAAGCTGTACTCCTATAGGCTTTCTCTAGTACAGCCTTGGAAGAGAATATATTTCTGGGCAGTTTCGAGTACAACCTATCTTAGGACATGTCAATACTTATTCAACCATTCCAGAGAAAGACTTGTCTACACTAGGCTTTTGCTGCTCAATAGAGATTTATAGGCTGCTGACAGTGCTTGGAAAAGGTTAATGTCCACCAGCACCTATGCTTTTACCTCCAAATGAAAGGAATATTGCACTCACATTCAATGGCAGAAGACAAAGGAAAAGACTTGCATCATTTGGGGGAGAAGATTCTTTTCCCTGCTGGTAGGCGTATGGATGTGGATTTCATTGTGAGAGGCAGAGGGAATGTGGATCTTGGAATCCTGACATCTTGGAACGTGTATATCTTAGCCCCATCGAAGACCTTTGCCGGACCCCCATTCAAACCTGATTACTTAAAGGATAATTAAAACGACTCAAAGTGCTGTAATGACCAAGACTCATACCATGGATTTCATCCACGAAAAGGATATACCTGCCCTTTTGAGCAGATGTTGGCATACATGTTAAATCCTTTGGGCCAGCATCCCTCCCAGTCCTCTATGTCTGCAGGTTATGTGGTCACACATCAAATGAGATCACATCTAGAAAACTCTTTGTAAGCCTTACTAAAAGTGCTGGTTATCGCCATTATTATCATTAAATGACTTTGAAGGTCAGACAAAGGTAAGCAGGAGAATCTCTAGCTCTGAAGCAGCCACACAGTAGAATTAGGGGAAAGACTTTCAGTGGTCATGAGAATATTCAAACTGGTTTTGCTAAGTTGGCTTCGTTTTGCAGGAACGGTGGCTCCTAAGCTCCCTTCCAGCTCTCCATCTGGGCTCCAATGGCCCTTTGAACTGCCACAAGAACCTTTACCCCACCCCCTCCTTGGCCAAAGCACCCAAAATGGTGGGAGCTCTGTTATGCCTAAGGACCCAGTTATATGCAAGCACTGCAGTGATCTCCAAGCGCTGGCTGGTAACAGGGAACACTGACTCTTCCCCATGTCATAAGGAGAGCAGTCAGGGATCTGAGCAGCAAAGGATCTTGCCATTCTATCATCAATTATTGGCTGAGATCATAGCATCAGGCCTAGAAGAACTTCAGAGATCATCTAGTCCAACCCTTCATTTTACAGATGAGGAAACAGGCCCGAGGGAGCTAACTGACTTCCAAAGGATCACAGATTTGGAGCCATGAGGAACTCGTCCAGAGTCACCCAGGTAGCGACAGGCATCTGAAAGCAGGTTGCCTGACTCCAGAACTGGCATTCTTTTCACCATTGCACACAAAAGTCTATGTCTCTGAGGAGGCAGAACAGGCACTCAGTTGATGGGGGGAAATGAACTAGACTGGGTGGTAGCTAGAATCGCCAACACATCCAGGCAAACCCTAGGACCAGGAGGTCATGCAGTTAGAGGGGGAAGCGACTGTCCAGGTCATTTAATTACGCCCTCTTCATTTTATGGGGGAGGAAACCAAGGCCTGGAGAGTGGAAGGAATGTACCCAAGGTCACACAGAGAGCAAGCAGAAGGGCTCTGATCCGAGTCTAGGTCCTTGGGGGCAAATCTGTCTATCTCTTGTGTTGGTGACATCACCATGACCAAGGCGCTGCTTGTGTTGTTTAAAGGACATCTCAGGAGAGAATGGCCTGAAATTCTAAGCTACAGGTACCTGAGACCTTCCTCTTAGCCCTGAAGACAATTGAAGTCGATCTTCAATAATGAGCTTCCCCTATATCCTGGGGAATAACTACAGCTTCATATGTTAAATGGAGGAAACTGACGGGCTTCTTATTTTAATTTCTCAAGAATGGTGCCCCTTCTGAGCTTCACGGGCATTTTGGACACACCATGCTTTGTTGAGATGGGACAGGGAGCATCTGGGCTGGGTCCCTGGTCCCTGACTCCCACAAACCCTGCAAGGCTTTGAGGAGGACAGCTGCCCAAGTGCTCCAGTTGTTTACACTAAGACCCGACTGTATTCATAATGCAGACTAATAGCCACTGTGCCCTGTGGGCGGCCCACTGCAGCCTCTGTGGCCAACGAGCTGGGCCAGTAATAATTTTAATTGGACACTCTCTTTGCTGCCTTTCAGAAAGTATCATAAAGTGGAATTATTGCGTTCTCCAAGTGCACTTACTGCGTGGGCCTCTCTCAGGAGGGAAGAGAGCCCATTTATCCTGGGGGGTGGGGTGGGGGGAGGGAGCTTCTATGTGGGTCCATTTGTTTTCCTTGCATGCACTCCCAGGTGCATGCTGCTTTCTTCTTCTTTCATCTATCTAAGAGACCAGTTTGAAGTAGACAACCCAGAGCTGGAGGCATGCCTAGAACCAGGAAAGATGACTTCTTTTAACCTCTGCAGAAGCAGATGCCCCCAGTTTGCAGCACCACGTTACTCTAGCCTGCCGAGAAGCACTTTCTGCCCACCTGGGGGACAGAAAGGTGAGCACAGTGGGGAGCCTACCTGCAGTGGGTTCGATGGAGTGAGAGGTGATGGAAGGCTGTGTCCGGGGGACTGACTGGGTTTCTGGGGAGAGCTGGAGGCCTGCTGGGCCAGAGACTGGTTTGACGTTGGAGCCTGGGTTTGGCTCTGCTGGGGTTGCTGCGATGGCGCTGGTGGCTGCGGGGGCTGTTGAGGCGGAGGGGCGGGTTGCTGGGGTGGAGGTGGCTGCGGCTGGGGCTGCGGCTGGGGCTGAGGCTGGGGTGGCTGCTGAGCTGGTGGTGGCTGCTGGTTGGTCTGCTGGGGTGGCGGTCCGGTCTGCTGGGGTGCGGGTGGGGGCTGCTGCTGTTGGAGTTGCTGGAGATGCTGAAGCTGTTGGAGTTGGGAATTCAGGGATGAGGTAGCTACAAGCAAAGAGAAGGCAGGAGGGTTAGCTTAAAGGAAGCAAGCATTTATGAAGCGCCTACTATGTGCCAGCCATTGCACTGAGTATGTTACAAACATCATCTTATCTGATCCTTCCAACCACCATGTGAGGAAGGCGCTATTTTCATTCCATTTCAAAGCTGAAGAAACTGAGGCCGATAGAAGTGAAATGATTTGCCCAGAGTCACACTGCTAGTAGGGTCTTCCTGACTCCAGGCTGCCTAGGAGTCCAGGGCAGCATGCCTGGGGAGAGGGTGGCCTGCCACCCCCAGGAAAACCTGAGCTCTGAGCTTTCCCCCTTAAGTAAGCCTGATGGAGTGAACTGAGTGCTGGAATACATTCAGATCTGAACTCTGATGCTGCCTACCTGTGGCATTTGGGGTAGATGACTTCACCCCCCTGGGGCTCCCTTTCCTCATCTGCCACTTGAAGCAGTTGGACTTTCTTGGCTCTGAGGTCTCCTTTGATCCTGCTAGACCTGTGATCCTGCTATCAGTTCAAATGTCACCTGTAGCACTTCTTAGCTGGGTGACCATGGGTATGACCCTTAATCTGCCTGAGCCTCAGTTTCCTCATCTATAAAATGGGGATAATAGTACCTCTAGGACTACCTAACAGGGTAGTTGCCAATCTCCAATAAAAGAGTGTGTGAAAAGTGCTTTGCAAACTTTCTGGGGCTGTTGAAAAGTCACTGGTTATTATTCCAGGGGGCAAAGCTGAACAACTGAGTTTGCTTTGATTCTTGGCCAGCCAAGAAGTCCATAGCACTTAGGATCACAAGTCTAGAGATATATAGCTGTTCAGTTCAGAGGCCATCAGAGGCCTTTTCTTTTATGGGTGAGGAGACTGAGGCCCAGGGAAGTGAAATGAGTTGCCCAAAGTCACATAGCTTGGAAGCATTAAAGGCAGGATTTGAACCCAGCTCCTCTGAATCGCAAACTAGTGCATCTTCTCCTCGATGAAACCACTTTCTTCTGGTTGCTTTACCAGGAAATAGAAAGTCTGCTTCTGTCGCTTTTAGAAGAGTTCAAGAATCTAAGTGGTGTATGGGTAAGAAGGTTGTTCAGATAAAAATTAGGCTACAAACCCCAGGGAGGGATCCCTGCTCTCCCGGCCCCCTCTGTCACCTGTAGGGTTACTTTACAGAAGACGCAGCAGAACGCTATCATACCTTCCCCCACCTAACCAAGGCAGTTAGCATGATTCTGATTTGGGGTTGGCAATGGCCAGAGGGCAGACAGTTCCACAGTGGGTGAGGTAGGGGTGAAAAGGTGAGCTGGACAGCGAGCGTGATCCCGAGGGCAAAGTGGGGTGGCCTAGTCTTCCCCACCCTGACCTCCACAGGGGTGAGGGCCAGACTAATCCAGCTGTCTTGGCATGAGGGTAGCTTGGGCTGCTTGGTGACTTAGGCCAGCAAGGACTATGAGTAGGGCTACCCTGAATTCTAGTAACTTCCCTCTGTTCAGTATTTCCTATGTAACCTGAATATAGCTTGCATTGTATGTATTTGTTTGCATGTTACCTCTCCCATTAGATCGTGAGCTCCTTGAGGGTACAGACTCTGTTTTGCCTATTTTTGTATCTCCAGAGCTTAGCACAGTGCCTGGCACATGGTAGATTCTTAGTAAATGTTTATTGATTAACTGATTGTACAAGATGTGGTGGCAGTGGGCACTATGAGAAGAACTTCCTACAAAAGAACCGTGCCTCTTGCCACGTGGACACCCTGGAAGAAGGTCCTGTTTGTCTAGTAGTACTTATGGCCCAGCTAGCCCCAGAAGTGGGTCACTGAGACCCTGCTGGCATCTAGCTCTCCCTGCCTCTCTTCATTAAACAGGTCGCCCCCAATCTTAGCATGGTCTGTAGAAGACAATGCCATCTGGCATTCCACCCTCTTGCTCCCAGACGGAACCACGTCGGGTGTCATAAAGGGCATGACTACACAGTGTATAGGAAAACATGGGAGAGACAGTACAATTGCAAATGATTACTCAGTCTTGGCCTTCTCTATATTCTCCCCCTGTCTCCGAAGGAACGAGGCTGAGGTTCCTTGATGTTTTGGGCTAATCACTCACTTTTGAGGTCAGCTCCAGCCAAGTACAGTGGAAGGCATGTGGGGTTAGGACCTGGGTTCAAATCCCAGCTCCATTATTTACTGCCAGTGTGACCACGGGGGCAGCAGCTTCTCCTCTACTGGCTTCAGTGTCCTGATCTACACAGTGAGAGAGCTGGGTCCAATTGGCTCTGAGTTTGGCTAGGCCAGTATTTGTGGTCCTGGCCTCTCAGTTTTGCGCCAATAGATCTGGTTTAGAAAACAACAAATGTGAAGACCACCCACTCCTAGATCTAGAAGCTGAAGGGGCTGCAGACGCCTTTGAATCCCATCCCCTCGCTCTGCAGAGTTCACAAACGGAGCTGCGTTTGGGCGTGTTGGACTTAACTCCTCGCAATTAAGCTTCATCTTTTTGAGGGTCTTGTAAATGGCCAACAGGAGTGGAAAGCAGTAAGAGAGACGACTTGTAAATCTTGATCATTCTCTTCATTTTACTGCATCCCGTAGCTCAGGAGGCAGGGTCTGAGCCTCCCGTTCCCTTGCAAGCGCAGCCCCCAGCTCCCCCTTTGGCTCAGCTCTAAAGCACTGCTCCCAATCCCCCTGCAGCTCTGCTGAGCTCCGGGAGAGAGCTAGCCAAATAGGATGGCTTAGCTCGGTGATGGGAATTGACCGTAACTTGGCAGCGTGCTTCCTTCCACTTCTCTGGAAGGCAGGAACATGTATTAGCAGCCTCAAGGGCATAGAAGGAATTGAAAGAATGAAATAATCTTTCAAGAGTTTCTTGTTCTATGAAAAGTAAGGATGGGCAGGAGAGGCCTTTTCAGCACTTGGCAAATTCAATTTTCTCAGATGCCTCCTTGAAATGCTGCCCAATTTCCAACAGAGGGAAGCCACGTGAAGTGGGTGGCCTGACTGAGGACCCTCAAGATGAGAATATGGAACCTCTTTCTCCATAGGAATCTCAACCTAAGGGTCATTATAAGGAGCTTCTGGCAAAACAGAAGAGAGAAACAACCCTGAGTAGGGATATAGCTGTGGATTCTTTCTCTACTGTGGATAGGAAGAGCCATTTCATTCATTCACAATGCCTGGCTTTGCCTACCTTTATTATACACCATGGCATATGATAAAACATTTCAAAGTCACCTTGAATACCTCTTCCGCTATAGCAGTGTGGCAAGGTGGCTAGAGAGTGGGACTTGGGGGCAGGAGGACCTGAGTGTGAATCACACTTTTAAAAAAAATTACTAGCTGTGTGATCATGGGCAAATGCTAGGACCACAGATTTGTTTTTGTTTTTTGTCTAGGCAATGGGGTTAAGTGACTTGCCCAGGGTCACACAGCTAGTAAGGGTTATGTGTCTGAGGCTGGATGTGAACTCAGGTCCTCCTGACTCCAGGGCCAGTGCTGTATCCACTGCGCCATCTAGCTGCCCCTAGGACCATGAATTGGGAGCCGGAAGCAGTAGGGTAGGAGAGAGCGATGTCCCAGAGACCTAGGGAGAAGAGCACAGCCAGAAGAGAAGATGGTGATCACCAGCATGAAAGGCTAAGGGCGGCTCTTCTGTGCAGCTGGTGCAGTGAAGAGAATACTGGACCTGCAGTCTGGAAGGCCTGAGTTCAAAGCCTGCCTCTGGCACGTGCTATCTGTGCGGCTCTGGCCAAGCCCTTTACCTCTCTGGGCCTCAGTTTCTTCATCTGTAAAATGGAAAAAGGACTCCTACTTTACAGGGTCGGTGTGAGAATCAAGTAAGAAAAACCGTAAAGTACTTTGCAAACCTCAAAATGCTATATAAATGTTAGTGCAACTGCCTCACTTTACAGATGCGGAAACTGAGGCCCAGAGGGGTGAAGTGATTTGTCAAGGTCACAAAGCTGTCTCCAAGTTCAGCCCTCCTTCCACTGCCTTCCCCACCAACCTCTTGGAGATGCAGTTTCTTCATATGAAAAACGGTGACAGCAATAATTGCTACCACCCATCTCTCTGAATCCTTGGTTACCCACAGCTCAGCCTGAAACCACCTGCTACATCATTCTCTGCTTGGTCCACGAGCCCTAGCACCTAGCACTGTACCAGGCATACAGTAAACACTTAATAAATGCTTAGTGATTGGTAAGAATCTCTACCCACTGGGTTGTAAGGAGGCTCAAATGTCATGACAAACAGAAAACTGTTTAACAAACCTTGAAGCCCTAGAGAAAAGTCAGCTGCTGTTACCATTACTAACGTTCATCTTGATTATTATCTTGTATTGCGCAGAAAGGAGGGATCTGGACAAACCAATAGTTTACTGAGTTTTTATCTAGAAACAGGCAAAAAATGCTGCATTTCTATAGCTCTTTAACATTTGCAAGGCATTATATATATACATGTATATACATATATGTATGTGTATATATGCATATATATTCTACTGGGAACTTACTACAACCCTAGAAGGTAAGTATCATAGGTATTATGATCACCTCCATCTTACTGAGGAAGAAATTAAGGCTCAGGTTTAGGGACTTGTCCATGGTAACACAGCTAGTGTATGTAAGAGGCAGGATTTGAACCCCAGGTCTTTCTGCCTCCAAGTCCAAGCTCTATCTGAGCCAACATGCTACCTCCAAGAAAGAAAGGTGGTCCAAATAAGACCTGCTTCCTATTGTTGGATTTCAGATCATTTTTGTTAACATAAAAATGCAACACGAAAACGGAGACTGAATGAAGTGATCACCAAGGTGGCCGCTGACACGGATTTCATTTCCTATCCAAACCAATTCCTTTCACTGCCTTTCAGACTTGAATCTTTCTGCTGAAAGTCTGCATAATGTAATGTGGCTCCACCAGCATGCCTTGCTTGTAACACTGGAGGCTCCTTTGAAAGGACATCTGATGCAGAATCACACAAGAAGCCTTCCAAAATAGCTCAGGAAGATTTGC